GGCGGGGACGGGATAGCGCATTGCCACCTGAACACATAGGCACCCCAACGGCCGCAGCCTTTCCCCATTTCTCTGCCGCCAACGGCAGCGGCAGCGCTGGCGCTCGGTAGTAACGCCCTCGGTAACGCCCGCGACATGAACGACTCGATCCACATTAAAGGTCTCTCTCTCTCTCTCTCTCTCTCTCTCTCTCTCTCTCTCTCTCTCTCTCTCTCTCTCACACTCACTCACTCACTCACTCACTCACTCACTCACTCTCTCACACTCGCTGCCCCCCCCCCCAAGTGTGTGAATGTCTCACACTTGTAAGTGTAATAATTACACTTTTGAATGTTCATAGAAATTTTTTCACGCACCTTTACCTGCAATTGTTCAGATGTACATTCACACACTTGCAAGTGTGCGGTATTCTTTCACTTTGCGTTTGCTGAGCAGCAGCTCCCGTATAGATACACTGCGCACGCGGCAGCCCAGGCTCCGCGCGGTCCGGAGCTTCTCCGACTGTGGCCGGGGCAGTAAATTGTTCTCCGGCCCTTCTTCAAATGACCACTTTACAGCAATACCGATGGACTTGCGGGGGGAGCGGAGGGGAGGGGGCAGCATCGCCCGGTGGGACGTGTGAGCGGGGGGGAGAGGGGAGGGGAGGGGCGGGGGTGACTTCCCATCCCCGGCGAGGCGGGAGGCGGTAATGATGAAATATTCTTCCGATGGGAGCGCGCCCGCCCCACCCCTACTACAGCCCGCACCCCTACTGTTCCACCACATACTAGCGTTGCTTACAAGGGACAAATGGCAATGTATCGGAAAGTCCGCGTGCACTCGCGAAAAAAAAAAGGAATTCCGAGGTCCTTATTTATTGGTGTAAGAGGTGTAAGATTTCTTTTGTAATGGACTTCATTACCATGCTTCGCGAAAAGACAGTAATATGGAAAAACGTGCAGCAAGTACAAAATGGGTTATAATGCAGAGTTAAAGGAAGCAAATTAATGCGTCCCCCCCACACCTTTGCGCAAAAAAAAGGATGTACGGAAAATCCCGTGTCATTTTTGCAGAATTTCACACCCACCCTCTGCCTCATAACCCCGTCCGCCCCGCAACAGAGCATCTTGGTCGGCAACCCTTGACGCGGCGGTGTACGGGGGGAGGGGGAGGGGGGTTCCTCCCTATGCGGTCCCAGGGTGGGACGGGGCGGGGCGGGGCGAGGGCGCTGGGGAGCACTAGAGGACGGGTTATGTTCGCCGATGGCACGGTTCGACACGGTTGTGCGACACTACGCGCGGGACCATAGGACACACACACACACACACACACACACACACACACACAGGGCGAGAGGCCCGCACCCGCCACATTTGGCCAACAGTTTGCTCTCTCTCTCTCTCTCTCACTCTCTCTCTCTCTCTCTCTCTCTCTCTCTCGCCGGCGATAACACGGAGGAAAAGGGGTGCGTATCTGTTTATTTGGCGCGACGCAATGCCGGCGGGGAGCGCGCGGCGCTGCGGGGCGCCGTGGCCTCCCCTATTTATAGCCTCCATTTGTTACCTTTTACCGCCGCGGCTCGTGTAGCGGAGCGGAGCCTTGCGGAGCCTTGCGGAGCCGCGCCCCGCGCCCCGGGGCTTGGCCACTGCTGCTGCTTCTTGTTGCGCCAACGCTCCCACATGACTGTGCAAATAAGGAAAGCAAGCGCCGCACGCAGGTGATTTATACGTCATCCCGGGCGCCTCTGTGAGATTTTTTAAAAATTATTATCGATGAGTGAGAAACTACCCCCTCCCCCTCCCCAACAGCAATGCCAATCTGCGCAAAAGGTTGAAATGGATTTGCGGAGTGGTGATTATGAAAAAGACTTTCTTCATACTGAAAAAGATGGCTAGAAATTCTGCACTATATCGGTTGGGGGCGGAGAGTAGATGGCGGGGGTGCAGCCGCCACCCACCGGGCGCGCTCGTCTTGGCAGTGGAGCACTCAGGAG